TTTGCAAACCACAGCAGAATTGCTACCAGCAAAGTCTGTCACGCATGCGAAGGTGACCTGTGGATGTGACAAGCTGGAGATACCAGTGAACAAACTAGGGGTACATGGAGGCAGAGAATGGGCAACTGGATGGGTTAATCCCTTCCAAAAAGTTAAGGGCTGCTTTAATAAATGAAGAAAAGAGTGAGACTGGATGTGGAGCTCCCTTCACTGGAAGTGGACATATTTTGTCACAGTATAAAGGCAATTTTAACAAATGTCTTTTTTTTTTGTTATAGTATTTTGAAGAGGAATAAAAGGAACCATGTGTCTATGTGGAAAAAGTTTCAGAGTGTGATCTGTTGCTTGCATTACTTGAAATGAGTTCTTCTGCGATCTTGGTCAGCTGTGAGGCATCAGTTCTGCCTCCTGTGTGCCTGTCAAAGCCTACGCTGGCTGAGCTGGGGTTTTCCCCTCTTTTAATATAAAATAGAAAAGCGAAACTGAATACTCATAAAGTACTGAATACAACCTGAAAACAGCTAAATATAAACTGAATACAAGAACTGAGTGCAACCGAAATAATTCTGATCAGCTTTACCACTTCAGCAAACAGATGACATCTGGGTTGTCTGAGTGAAACGACGTATTTCTGAGCTGCCTTCAATAATATTTCTGTAAGTTGACAGTTGGCTTGCAGCAGATAAAGCTGAGCAACCACTTAATCATCTAGAAATTGGAATGAAACACCTCGTGTATGTTTTAAGCTTGTATTTCTGTTACTTACAAGGCTCTTATGAATGTTCTAAGATTTTGAGTAACTTCTAGATTGCAGGCTTGATTTCATGTGGAACGTTGTGAAGCGAATGACTTCAAAGTAGCTTTGCGGTTAACTCTGTGGGGTTGTTCCAGAGGTCTGTGGAAACCTGGATCTAGGAAAAACAGGGGTAATGCTATTGCTTCCAGACCCAAGCTAAGTTGCAGTGAGCTCTCAAAGCTCTGCAGGTGGTTTTGGAAGAGCTTAAAGGCCTGGCTAGAGCCCTGACAGCAAATACAACATTTATTAATCACATCTGAGACAGAACTTCGCAGCCATCGTGGTACCAAACCAGCAGTATTGCCCTGACAAGCAAAAGAGCAGCAGTAGAAAACAGTCAAGCTAAGGATTTATAGCAGTGATCTAATTTACTCTAATGAGTAATGCCATATATAATAGATTGACAGTTTGGAATACAGCTTGGAAAAGCATTAATTTCACATGTTAAAAATATCTTATGCACTGATGCCATTAAAAAGATCATTGCATGGAGAGGGGACCGGCACAGGGAAGGAATTGTCCACTTTCATAACACACTGCTAAGCAGTGTCTGCAGTCTGAGGGCTCCTCGGAGCAAGGGAGACTCCGAGAAACCATCCTGTGGTGTGAAGGAACAGTTTCCATTGCGTGGGCCGAAGAGCAAAGCTCAGCGTGAGCTTTCATGTGCCCCACGAGTTTGTCGGGCAAGGGATGCTCCAGACACCCACGCTACAACCAAGCAGTGTGTGTGAATGGAGACAGTCAAAGGACGAGAGATCTGTAATGAAGCAGGCAGGGACCGTAACGAATTGCCAGCATAGACATAGCCTCGGGAAGATGTTCTGAGGAACAGAGGAGCTTTGAACGGAGTCCAGCCCAGACTTGACCCAACCATCTCAACGATTCATGTCCCTCAGAAAATGTTGCCCTGACCCCAAGGCAAAAGGAAGTCAAACAGATTTGCCATCCTGGAAATCAGAGAGCAAGTCGCAGTGGATCACCTCATGAGCTGTCAGTGAAAGAAAAAGAAGGTTCCGCTGTATCTTATACATCAGAAGATTTTCTAATCTTTTCAAAAAGAGAAATCTGGAGGGGATGGATGATGCCGAATATTTTTTTTCCCCCATTTCCTTCTTCAGGGAGATATTTGTGAATGCCCTCAGAAAACACAGCCAACATATATACATATTTACACGCTTACAGCAATTCTTTTGGGAGATGTTGTTACTTTGTAGATTGCCACTTCTCTTCCACGGGAACAGACAACTGCCTTGATCACACAGGGGATCTGCATTAAAGGATGCTTTGATTTGGAGGCAAAAGACCACAGAACCAGGAGTACTGGAAGAAGGGCACCAAATCCATCGTGGAAGGTTGTGTCATCTTTAGTGAACTTTTGGACACCTTTTAGAGGTACAGCATTAATTTCAAACCTAGCCAAAGTTGTTTTACCAACATAAACGGTTCAGCTGCTTTCCTTGCCTGCCACCTTGTTGGTTTCTTCTGATTTTTATAACCTGGGAAATCTTTGGTCTAGGTCCCACCTCAGAGAAACTGCATCCTTCTTGTGAATGCTGTGTGTGAGTTGGCTTTCCTGGTTAATTTTGTGCTGTCTCTAATTGAGACAGAATGTCAAACCGGAGCAGGAAATTAAGAAAGGTCTAAGGTTATGTCTACACTCCAGTTAATTGGGGAAGAAGGCAGCTGGCACTGAGACATGAGCATCTGCATTTGTTTGCCTTAAAGTCCACTACAGAGTATTCCTAAGCCTCACGATTTATGCCCTTACACACGTGTGGGCACATCCTCCCAGGCCTCTCTACTGAGACCTTCTTGGATCCTTTCTCTGTCAGATGTGAAATAGCTTCCTTTCAGAAGAACTATGAAGAAGCGCAGGAGGCTTGTTTCTGTTTCCGCATTGCCAAGCGGTTCCATTCAAGCCTGAGGTAAAGCAGGGCATGATTTCTAAATCCAAACCCCTCCAGCCTGGGTTTAAACAACACCCTTAAACCAACGGGCTGTTTTCTGCAAGAAAGAGCTGTGGTGCACAGCTCTGATTATCTAACCTAGGTGAAAAGCCAGTTGTGGTTACAGCCATCCAGAACAGCTACAGGAGCAATGGAGCCTACAATGGGGAAAGGCAAAAAAATGTATCTGGGAGGACCTAGGAAGGCAGAAGCTACCATGTGCTTTAGCATAAGGCTAGAACACAAAGATGCTGCCACCAGCCAGGCTGCTTCTAAGTTACAGAACTAAAGTTACAGGGACTTTCAACCTTCACTGTTTAGTGGCCTTCACTTTCCATGCTGAATTTAAGCATAGTGAGAATGAGCTGTTCTTACTCATTCTTCAAAGCTTTTTCTGGCCCTCTTGGACTTTACGAGCCACAGAACAGAAATCACAGGACAAAAGCAGGTAAATAAACAAGAGATGAAATCCAGAGTTCAGCCTGTCTTCATGATAACCTGTGTCACAAATGTGACGTGCCTGGTGACAAGGACTCAAGCAGTAGTTTTTTACTTCCAGGATATACACGTTAAGCCCACCCTTTGAAGCTCAGTCCCTACCAGTTATCTCAGTCCTCTAGGCCTGAAGGAAGCAGAAACCAGGCACCACACTTAAATCCCAATGCACCGTCTCCGGTGCACAGATGGCTCAGGGGACAGGGAGCGCAAACCTTTCCCATCTCTTGGGTCATTTTTAATACCAGCACCAGGGGAAGGAGCAGGGTGCTTGCGATCGCCCTGCAATTAAACCCTACACCGTTTGCCGGTGCAGCTTCACCTGAGGGCATCCTAAGCCGGTGAAACAGTTCTGATTTCCCTTGGGGTGTTGTCAGGCCTGTCGGAGTGAATGGCGTGGTGGCAGGGGCACACACCACGCTCGGAGACCAATCCCCGCCATGCCACCCCAGGGGCCAGTGAGCAGCCCCACACTCTCGCAGTGCCCAGTGCCCAGTGCCCAGCCCCAGGCCCTTCCCGGGGCAGCCGAGCAGTCGCAGCCCCCCGTGCGCTGTCGCCCTGTGCTCACTGCCACCACCCCCCAGCGCTCCTCCCGGCCACCGGGGGGCGCTGTAGGCGCGCGCGGGGCCTCGCCGCCCTGCTGACGGCACGGACGTCCGGA